GTGTGTGTGTGTTGTGTTTTGGTGGTGTTGGTGTGTGTGTGTGTGTGTGGTGTGTGTGTGTGTGGCACTGGGGGTTAAACTGGAGGCATTATACAAACTAGGCATGTGCTACGTGACTAAGCTACACCCTTAGCCCCAGAATAAATTCTTATACTAGTAACATTTGATCAAACTTCTTAAATAATCTTTAAGTAGTTTTCTTACCGGGATCTGATGGACTCTGTGATAAGAGATACGACAGCAATTGTCACCCATCCACAGTGAGGAAGGCAAACGTAATGGCTCCTGGTAGGGTTTCATCATATGAGGGTTACTCTGGTCTTTTGTTGTTTCCGGTTCATATCCACTAAGGAGTACTATAAATGTCATGTTGCTTTCTAAGTATCCCTTGTGTTTGGTGAGAGAATGCTGGTTCATGCTCTATAGTCCTCCTTGTCAATCTGATTTCTCACTGTGTATTTATAAATTAGAACTTAATGACTTGGCCTCCTGTGAATTTCAGCAATGTGAACCTGTCTGTAAAGGTCTTTCCATTTCTTGATGCACTGACAGAAATGACCTTCTAGCTCTGTAAAAATGGGAAAGGACAGTTTTGGGGGAGATGGATGTGAGCTTCCTCCTTAACTCCAAATGACAATGTGTGAGCTTAAGCAGGTGACTTTTTTTTTTTTTTTTCTGAATGAGTATCTTGGTTTCCTGTTCTGAAAATGTGAGAAGTATGAAGATCAGATGAAACCTCACAGGCAAGGAGCCTGGGGGTCAAAACAAGTGTGGTAAGTGTTCAGCTTTTTCCTATCAGCAAGGGGAGCAGAAAATGAGGTAAGCTGGTACCTACTCAGAAATCACGATGCCTGCCCACATGCTGCCAGACACACCTGTGGGTATTCTGGAAGACACTGCTTCTCTACAGGTCTCAAAGGGAAATGAACCAGACATCATAGCCGACTTTGTTTCAGGTATCAGCCCTGGCTTGATCTCATTATGATATTAAAGAGCTTCCATCAGCCTGGAGCCAGGCTCCATGGCATCTGTCAGTTCTGTTCCCACATGCAGTGGGAATCTGGATGTCATCTCCTTGCTCTCAGACGATTGTGGACTGCAGGGCATTTCAGGCCTACCAATGTACCACATTCAAATTATCCCAGCTCTGGGGAACTCTCCTACTTATCCACAGCTGTAACCCCATCCTTTTCTTACCTGTTACCCTTTCTAGGACTTGCAATTCCAGAATATATTAAAAGTTGGTGCCACAAGAGTTATATTATTTACTTATGAACAGACCTATTTAAGTTTACTTTTTGATACATCTAATAGCCAGGAAAGACTTATTATCATTGTAGGTAGAAATTTCTATTCCACCAGCCACTCCCAGGTAACGACAGAGGCTTAATATAATTATAAATACTCTGCCAATAGCTCAGGCTTGTTACTAGGTAACTCTTACAACTTAAATCAGCCCATTTCTATTATCTATGAGTTGCCCTAAAGCTCATTATCTCATCTATGTAATTCCCATGTTGCTTCTTTCGTGTCTGGCTTGAGACCCCTCAGACTCCACCTTTTTTTTCCCTCAGCATTCTCTCTGCCCCAAAATTCCTACCTAGCTATTGGCCAATCAGCTTTTTATAAACAAATGAGAACAACACATATTTACAGTGTACAAAGATTGTTCTACAGCAGTTCATACTATAGAAACCTAGATTTCTCAGATTGATTTCAGTAGCAGAGAAAATGGACTGGCTATTATATACAAAAAGACACAAATGTGAAGGACAACTTAAACCCTACATTATTTGATAATAATATGTCAAGTTACAAATTATAAAGTATTTGGAAGGTTAAGGTACTTAAAAACAAATTGAATATAGGTTTGAAGAACCTTTTAATTAGTGTTATTTTCCTACCCTAGGGAAAGGGTGTATGTCATTGATTATGATTCCAGTCAAAGCAAACTTCATATTACAACAGATTTAGGCTGCTATTTGATATTCTGATCTTAAACACAATTACATAATTCTCTAAACCTGGTTTCGCATGAAATATATGCTACTAACATGGGCAAATCCTCTATCAAAAACCATGCCAAACAATTTTCACCTAAAAAATAAATACTTTTTAGTCTTATACAACTAAAAAGAAGGTTCATTTCTGGTCCCATTGTCTCAGCCAACCAACTCTTAAAGTAGTTAGCAGTTACCAAACTAAACTTTTAAAAATAAAATTAATTCTGTGGGCTGTGCAGCTGCTGCAGTGCTCCTGGCCTCCGGGGCCTTGTCAGGGAGCTACACCCATTCAGCACTGCCACCCAAAGAACTGCTGGGGAAGACTGCAGTTCTGAGGACCTTCCTGATGTACTCGGTCCCTCCCTTGCTGAACAAGCCTTAAGGCTAAAAGCTGTTAAACTGGAAAAAGAAGCCCAGGATTTAATACTGAGATACCAGAGAGCTTTCGCTGATTGTGAAAACGTAAGGATACGAACCCAGAGATGTGTGGAAGATGCCAAGATATTTGGAATCCAGAGCTTCTGTAAGGACTTGGTGGAGGTGGCAGACATTTTGGAGAAGACTGCAGAGTGCTTTTCAGAAGGAGTCAAACCCGAGGACCACAAGCTTATTCTGGAAAAAGTCTTTCAAGGACTGTCCCTTTTAGAAGCAAAGCTGAAAAGCGTGTTTGCCAAGCATGGCCTAGAGAAAATGACACCCATTGGTGACAAATACGACCCTCATAAGCATGAACTCATCTGTCATATGCCAGCAGGTGTTGGGGTACAGCCTGGCACTGTGACATTAGTACAACAAGATGGCTACAAACTTCATGGCCGCACCATTAGACTTGCCCAAGTGGAAGTGGCAGTGGAGTCTCAGAGAAGGCTATGAACAAGCCATCAGGAACTAAAACTCCCAGGGTCCTGGCACCTGTGTCTCCTTTATTTATTAAGCTGGTTTGTATTATACATTAGGGCCTTCATGTGCTCTGCTTTGGATTTAGTCATATTGAATTTACTCTACAGTATCTTATTGGTTTTATGTGGTCTGTTTGGTCTCATCAGAAGTCCTGACATTGGGCATTTGAACAAGTGTCCTATGGCCTCTATCAAAATGTTTACAAAAATCATTTAAATTGGTACTATGATGACTGAATCCAAAATCCCTTAACTGTGTTTTCAACTAATTTCTGGAATTAGTACAGCATCTTGTGTCTTGTATTTTATGGGAAAAGGAGATGGTAGGGATTGGTTTGATATTTATCCTTGTATAAATTTAAATCATTTGGGTTGAGTCATAGAGATTTTTTTCAAGACTTCTTTTTTATTTCATTTTTCATTTAGTCATCTTTTGTATTTGTATTCCCTCTTAGGGGTCACACACATTGTTCCATAGCCACCCCTTTCTAGTCCCATTTGAGAGGGCTAAAGGGTCAAATCAGTCTTCCTTTATTTTTCTTGTTGGTAAGGTATATTCTTTTATTAAATTGGTCTCAAGTCTATGACCAGACAAGCTCTGGCTGCCTCCACAACACAATCCACTCCCAGGGAGACCAAAAGCCTCCATACATCAAAAGTTGGAGTGTCAGGCATGGGGGGGGGCGCAGGCATAGTGGCTGGCCATTCAAAATTCAAAACAAAGTATTACCTTGGATGATTTTTTCCAGTACATAATTTATACAAAAATAATGCTGCTGTCTCCCTTGCATGCACTCAGAATGAACTGGGCCATCCTTTCCACATCAGGGTGTGGTGCTGCTCTGGAGAGGACAAGGGACTTCCTGTAACAACAACAACAAAATGCAATCAAAAGTCCTCAGCCACATTGTAAAACTTTGGGGATGCTTGCCCCAATCAGCTGCTGTCACCTTCACCATTCTAGTTTTTAAATACTGAGTCAGAAACACCAAAAAATTATATGTATTTATAATTGATAAAAGAAAAACAAAATTGGGGGCTGGAGAAATGGCTCAGCGCTTAAGAGCACTGGCTGTTCTTCCAGAGGACCTGAGTTCAATTCCCAGCAACCACATGGTGGCTCACAACCATCTCTAACAAGATCTGGCACCCTCTTCTTGCCTTCAGGCATATATGCAGACAGAACACTGTATACAAAATAAATAAATTTTTGAATAAAAAAAAAAGAAAAACAAAATTGTCTTGGTTTTGTTTTTTTCCCTGAACATTTTGTCAAGAAATGGTATGAACACAAATAAATAAATAAATAAAATTAATCGAGACAATTCTATGAAATATAGTGAATGCATTTTAAGTATACGGTGTTGAAATTTACAATGTACATTGTGAAACCAACACCATAATCCAAATGTACATAGAGTATTTCTGCTCTTCCCACTACCTGGCTCTCATGCTATTTGTGCTATAAAACTTCCCAACTCTCCACCTTTTGACACTTACTCAACCATCCACCTATCTATCCGTCACCCACCCACCCTCTGACCCCCGCCTCTCTCTCTCTGTCTCCCTACCTATCTAGTGTGCAATTTTTTGTGTGGTTCCATGCATGTCACAGTGCACATGCAGAAGTCAGAGAACAACTTATGGGAGTCAATTTTAGGCTTGCTGGCAGACCCCTTTAGCGAATAAGCCATCTTGTTGGGCCTTTTCACCTATGTACCCTCCATGAACCACTACTTTAATTTCTATTACTACACATTTGATCTGTAGATTTTCATACAAATGAAATCATGTAATATGTAACTTTTGGTGCTTGGCTTTTTGTCAGTCACCAAGCATAAAGCTTTAGAGACCAGTCTGTGCATAATGGCACTGGTTATGGTCTCTTTTCTTGCTGATTGTACATATTTCATCCTATGTTTATATCAGTATTTGTTTCTTCATTTACCCTGCTGGACAACTACTCCTTCACAAATAACTATCTTTATGTCCTTGTAAATTTATTTCTTTAGACTAAATTCCTTGGAGTGCAGTTATGGGATCATATGGTGAATACATACTTAACTGCATCTACAGTGTTAGATAGTTTTCCAAAGTGCTTCCTATGTCCTTTAACACTCCATCATATATATGAGGTATCTAGTTGCACTACATACTTGGCAAAACTTGATTTCAGACATCCTCCTGAGGTTTGCAGTTATCTCCTGATAGTTTTTTATGTCAAGAAATGGTGCTACACATCTTTTCCTGGGGTATTTAATTGCTTATATTTTTAGAAGTTCCTGATCAGTTTTTTTCACTTTTCCCCTTAATTATGTCATAAATAAGTATTGTGGCACACACACACACACACACACACACACACACACACACACACACACACACTACAGAATATCTGTTTATTTTCTTGATGTTACTTTTAGCAAGGCAGTGGTTTTGATTTGGGTGAGGTCCAGTTTATTATATTATTTAATTTATTTATTATTTTACATTGTGATTTTTGTGTCCTGCTTTAGACAGATCTGGCTATCTTGGGGTGGTAAGATTTTCTCTAGTTTCCCTCTGGAGGTTATGTAGTTTTTGTTTTTTCAGTGTTTAAAGTTACAATACATTTGAAGTAATTTGCATATGGTGAATAATTTGCTTCCATATGGATATCCAGTTGTAATGACATCATTGGTTGAAAAACTATTTTCCCTTTGAATTATCTTGGCACTTTTATAGAAAAGTAATTGACTACATATGCGTGGTTCTGTTTCTTGTCATTGTTTTTCATTCTACCAATCCAACTGTCTACTTTTCTAGCTATATTACATTGTATTAATTACTATAGTTTACAAAAAATTTGAAATCAGATAGCAGGTGTCCTGAAACTGCTCTTCACTTTCAAAATTATCATAGCCAATCTTGGCTTTTTGCTTTTCTATGCATTTTTTTAAAATCACTTGCCAGTTTCTAGAAGAATTTTAAAAACCTGCTGTAAATTCTTATTTAGATGATATTGAATAAAGAAATCGATTTACAGACAACCAACATCTTAGATAAATCTTGAGTCATTTAATCCATGGCCACTGTGTCTATCTCAATCTGAGCCTGGTCTGGTCTTTCTCAGCAATATTTTTTTTTGGTTTGAAGTATACATTTGATACATTTTTGTTCAATTTACTTCCAATAATTTCATAGTTTTATGCTATTAAAGGTTTGAATACTTTTAGAGGCCAGGGCCCTATGTCAGGTGGTAGAATGTTTGCCTGGTTTGTATGCGCAGTTCAGTTCCCAGCACCATATATATTAAGTGTGGTATTGCATGCCTGCCATCGGGCACTCAGAAGGTAGAGACAGGAGGAGCAAGAATCTAGAGGCCAGTCTGCAGGGACACATGGAGAATGCAGGGACGGCTCCCTACACCAGTCTGGGTTATATGAAAACCTGTCTCAAGAAAACAGTACTTTTAGCATACCAAGTTTTGTGTATTGATATACAAAGTACATGGAACTATGGTCAGTTTTTCCCCACATATCCCATAATTGTGCTGATTCATTTATGGGTTTTTTGTTTTCATAGATTCATTAGGAATTTCTGCAACATAGGATTCATTGCCCTTTGCTTCTCCTCCTTTCCATAATGAAGTCATTGAAATTACAATACCAAAGAGAGCTGGTAAGAGCTAGTCTTATACCCAATATTATAGAAAAAAAAACTACTGAGGTTTTCATTATGAAGTTCAAAGTTAGTTGTAAGTTTTCACAGTAATTATCAAACTAGATGAATTCTCTTCTGTTCCCAGCTGATCAAAGACAAAGTTTCATCTTAAATGAGTGTTGAATTTTGTCAAGCGCTTTTTAGAATCTAAGCCAGCATGCTTTCTTCCATGCAGTCAATAAGTTGACAGTGATTGATTACAATGCCAGGCTAACCTCTTATCTTAGAGTTAAAAAACCTAATGGTTCCATTGTATCATCTTCATATTTTTCTAATTCAAATTGTTAGCAATTTGTTATGGGTTTGAAAATTTCTTTTTGGAAATATTCTAAATTTTGTGTCCAAATTTCTATTTCTTCTTAGGTCAATGTTGGTAACTTGCATATTTAAAGAAATGCGTCTGGGTTGTTTTGTTTTTTGTTTGTTTTTTATTTTTTGAGACAGGGTTTCTCTGTGGCTTTGGAGGCTGTTCTGGAACTAGCTCTTGTAGACCAGGCTGGTCTTGAACTCACAGAGATCCACCTGCCTCTGCCTCCCAAGTGCTGGGATTAAAGGTGTGTGTCACCACTGCCTGACTGGCTTATTTTAATGTAGTGAAATATTGCCATAGATAACTTTACAATATTTGCTTACCATTTTTTAGTGTGAATAAAATCAACAACTGTCCTTACAGTCCTGATGTTGGTATTGTGTGTCATGTGTTTAATGAACTAGATTAATGTTACTTAACCAGTATTGAAGTTTATTGTTGATTTTTCTGTAAATTCTGCCTATGTCCTGTTTTTGCACAGCCTGGGAGCTAATGATAGTTTTCACATTTTTATAGTCTTAAAAATGAAAAGTAAGAGAAGAAGCATAGGACACTGGAAGTTTATCATGTATATCCTGAGTTCACCACAGTCAACCTCCAAATATTACCCCCTGTCAGCCACACTTTCTGATCTTACTGTCATAGATGTCATAAGACAACCTACTTGTAATTTCCCATACTAAATTATTTTGGAGAGAGAGTTACCTAGGTGAACAAATATCTTTCTCTAATACTTCTCCACATACACACCATTTAAAGTCTTCATTCCATTCCTTTGTGTGTCTAGACTTCCATCTGGGTCATTTTCTTTCCTCATGAATAATTTCCTTAAACTTCTCTTATAGCGTGAGTCTGCTACCAGACAAAAGTGTCTGTGTCTGTGGCTTCATAAAGCCAAATCTCTTTCATGTCTCCATTTATATACTTGCTATATAAATGTCAATTATGTCTAAATATAAATA